AGCTGAGAGGGAGACGTGGCTCTTTTTTCTTCTTCTTCTGTCGGACGGTTTATTTGGAAGCGAATACAGGCTTCACAGCAAAGTTTCCGCATTGTTCTGTTCTTTTTATCCATTCTGAATACGTTTTCCTCTAGAATCCAAATGGTTTGTCTCACTTTTGAATAGAAATCCATCCAAACTTAATCTTTAAAACAACCCTAGATATGATCCAGGGTTGAGTTCCCCTCATTATACCCTATAACCTGCTGACAACAGCATTTCTCTTCAATAAAACATTACTTTACTTAGTTATGACTTCGTTATTTTTAACTCCTCAATCCAACATGGAGGACATAGAATAAACTGTGAACCCAATTTAATGAGCACATTCTTCATGTATTGGACTCGTGAATTTTCTTTTATTTGTAAAATGTTTAAGTTGCACGGAAATAATAGTAAACAACAGACAGAGTTACCCTTTAAAAATCAGCTGATGATTTTAGGTCCAGTTCTTATCCACAACTTAATAATTCAGATAATTCAGAAATTGGCAACTGTAAACCTCCATATTCACACATTCACATCTCAAATTTACTAAATTGTCAATTAAAACTTCCTCTAAATTGAGAATAAGAAAAAAAAATCAGTATTTAATGTGTTAAAATGGGAATTCCTTCTGACAATATTATACCATAGAATAAAGAGACAGTCTTTGTTTCTGTAACGATCTTTTGTGTCAATAAAGCACCGCGGTTTTGACTGTCATGCTCCGCGCATGCGCACACGTATGGAGTGACGGCGCTGACTAGCTAGCTTCCTGCTGCGTTCATCTCAGATTTGCGCTTTCGCTGACTCTTGTAAACAGTTATCCTTTTAACAGCCGAGCGTTTCTGTCGAGTTCCACACATCGAGGGTGACCTGACCGAGGCGCGATAGAGAATGCCCAAAAATAAAGGTAAGAGTCGGTGTTTTTGGCCGTTATTTGGTTGCCGCAGTTTTAGCCCGCCGTGAAGAAAACGTGACAGAACCGGCTAACTCTGGTTAGCCGCTCACGAGACCCTCACTTAGCGGTCAGGCGGTTAAATCAAACCCCGTTACGGTTCGGGTCAAGGCCAGGAAACCTTGCCTGGAATCTAAGGCCTGTCTGTGACATATTTAACATTCCTATTGTTGTAATTCTCATGCTAGCTGACTTAGCTAACTAGCTAGTTGCTAGCAAGTTAAACCCCACCCCGAGGTGGCCCGTGACATCTGCTCATCAATTTGAGCAAAAACTCACTTTTATAACAGGGTTAACTCTTAAACCGTATTACTAAACACATTTTAAGGTCCTGTCTTAGCTTCTTAGTAAGTTTCCGATCAGGTAACAGTTACTGTTTATTTAGAGATGTTTAAAATCTGTAAATTGGTGTGTCGTCATAAACAAATCACAAAAGAGTGTCATTGGTCAGAATCCTATTTAGATGACGTATATTCCGGAACTAATCCTCATTTGTAATATCAATTAGACTTAAATGAGTCCTGTAAGTTTCCTGATTAGGGGTTTTACCGAAATCCCAAAAGCCAGGCTGCTTCTATGTCCTAATTTGGAATATTTCTATTTTTTATAACTCGTTTTCACTTATAGAAAATGTCCCAAATAGTTAAAAAAGTGCTTCCAGGGTTTTGGGGAGATTTCCAGCTGAACCTTTGGGTCTGTGAGCTGAACCCGGGTCCTTCTGCTTCCAGGTAAAGGAGGAAAAAACCGGCGACGTGGAAAGAACGAGAATGAGTCTGAGAAGAGAGAGCTGGTGTTCAAAGAGGACGGACAGGGTGAGTTCTGGCTCCGCTTTCAGAGGTCAAAGGTCAGCGGGACCCCTCCCAAAGCCTCCAGCTCTCCTACCTGCTGCCCTTTGACCCCAAAGTGGACCCAAAGTGTCCTTCTTCCCACCTAAACTTTGACATCCACTCAGTCCCTCCATTCCTGTTTTACACAGGAAGCCCCATCCTAAAAGCTCTATTGATTTAAAAAAATATATATGTGTATTATTGTTATTGTTCCTTTTCTCTCTAACTCTGTAAAATGAATCAAAATAGCTGATGAAAGCTGATGAATTGACCTTCTCAGTGGGGTTAGATACCAACACCGTCCCTCAGTCTGTGTAGCTTTAAATAATTTCCCTCTGGGATTTTTAAAGTATTTCTGATTCTGATTCATGAACCAGCTGATTATTAGTGAAATCCCCATTATTTTTATTTAGTTTAACAAGGAAGAGCTTCTTAAAATCAAACATCTCTTCTCCCTGAGTCCTTCCGTGTTGCTTGCTTTAAATAAAACAAACTTTACATCAGTTGAGAGCCTTAATTGTCCCTTTTCCAGCAAAATAAGCTTTTAAAAACCAAAACCCTTTGTTTGTGGCCTTGGCTGGTGTTGGTAAGCTTCGTTACTGGGGATGTGAAACTGTTTGGAGGATGTGAAGCAGGTCCCTTCTCTCTGTTCAGGTTCAGAGCAACATCTGGCCAGATGTTTGCCGGCAGAAGTCCCCGGTTAGGTCGGCAGAGGCTCAAAAACGGCAGAAACCGGGTGTCCAGAGTAATAACGACCATCAGAGCTGCTAACAAACTCCAATTTTTCACTTTAATATGAGTTATTATTATTATTAGAACCCAGAGTTAATGAGCCTGCAACATTAAGCCCTGAAATGGGTTTCAAGTCGTTTATTAACCCTGAAATGGGTTTAAATTAATAAAAAAAAAAACCTGGAATGGGTTTAAAGTTTTAAAAACCCTGGATTGGGTTTAAAGTTGTTTAAAAAAAAAACTGAAATGGGTTTAAAGTCATTTTTAAAAACCCTGAAACAGGTTTTAAGTCGTTTATTAACCCTGAAACGGGTTTAAAATGATTTTAAAAACCCTGAAATGGGTTTAAAGCTGTATTAAAAAACCTGAAATGGGTTAAAGCCATTTAAAACAAACTGAAATGGGTTTAAAGATGTAATAAAAACCCTGAAATGGGTTCATGGTAATTGAAAAAACCAAAAAAACGTGTTTAAAGCCGTTTTAAAAACCCTGAAATGGGTTTAAAGACATTTTCAAAAGTCTGAAACAGGTTTAAAGTGATTTTAAAAGCCATGAAATGAGTTTACATTATTTCAAAAACCCTGAAATAGGTTTTAAGTCGGAGAAGCTGTCGCTGTGTTGTATCCGGGGGGGCTCCTCCTTCTCCTCTTCGGGTTGGTGGGTGTTGACCACTCCCGTGTCTCCTCCAGAGTACGCTCAGGTGATAAAGATGCTGGGGAACGGGCGTCTGGAGGCCATGTGCTTCGACGGGACCAAGAGGCTCTGCCACATCAGAGGAAAGCTCCGGAAAAAGGTAGGTTACCCCCCCACCTCCCCCAGGGGGTCACCCCCCCCCCCCGACCTCTGACCTCTGACCCCTGCTCTGTTCTGTCCAGGTGTGGATCAACACGTCGGACATCATCCTGGTGGGGCTGAGGGACTACCAGGTGAGCTCATTTTCAGGGCTTTTTTGGGGATTTTCTGACTAAAAAGGCCTCAAACGGTGGATAGTTATGATTAGAAACTGTTATTGTGGTTTCAGCTCCTTAAATTAGCAGAATATGCTCCAAACCAGTCGAAAATATCTTTAAAAATGCCTAATTTCCCTTTAAAATCAGCTGTTAAGGTTCAATTTTGGACAAAATTTTTATGTTCCTTTTTTTTTCATCCACCAGGTGGCGCTGGTCTTTTATTTTTTCATTGAATCATGCAGAAATTTCTGCTTTTTGACTGTTTTCTGGAGGAAAATCAGAGCAGTTTGTTTGTTCTTAAGCTGAAGGCATTTTAAAAAAAGATTGATCCATTTAAAGTGAATCCAGCCGAGCGCCTTTAATCCTTTTATGGGTTATTTAATTCAGGATTTTGAAGCGTTTTGGCTCTTTTTATCCATAATTTTTCCAGCTTCAGGGCAGTTTTGTGTGTTCTGTCATACATCATCTCACCTTCTGACTCTTTTAGCTAAAGGGAGTTTTATTTGTTTTGTTTGTTTTGTTTGTTCTGTTTTCCTTTCCTCGTTCTGACTCTGAATGTTTTTCTCAGGATAACAAAGCTGACGTCATCCTCAAGTACAACGCAGACGAAGCCCGGAGTCTGAAGGCCTACGGGGAGCTGCCCGAGCACGGTGAGTCAAAGGTCAAAGGTCAGGGGCCTGCACCCCCCCTCTCCCACCAGCAGGGGGCGCCTGTCCTTTTCCAGACTTTTCCTCCTCCTAAAGAGGTCCTGGAGCAGATCTAAAGCTTTATTATAGAAAAAATGAAGCCTTATTTCTCAGTTAGTTTAACAGATAGACTCAGCAAGGTTTATTTTACAGCACATTTCGTGTAAAAGACCATTCAAAGAATTTAAAAGCAGAAAAACAAGAAAAGAAAAATGATAAAAATTAGACAGATGAAAATTGACCCTTCTCTTTTCATTTGTCTAATATTTCAAACATATTTATTTATGTATTTCTTTAATCAGGACAGTGCACATTAATGAACAATCTCATACTTCAGTACAGATTGTAAATGAGGCAGATTCTAGCATAGTTGCTAATTTACATCTGCAGGAAGACAAAACAACACAAAATCACAAAATACAAAATCAGTCCAAACACACGTTCAGACAATGACATTACAACATTAAAATGAATTAAATTAAATTTTATTTATTTATTTTATTATTTTATTTATTTAAAAGCAGAAAAACTAAAGAAAAATTATAAAAATTAGATGGTTGAAAAGTGACCCTTCACTTTTCATCTCTCTAATGAATTTACATTCAGATAAAATAAAATTATAAAAATTATACAGATGAAAAGTGACCCCTTCACTTTTCATCTGTCTAATGAATTTACATTCAGATAAAATAAAATAATAAAAATAATACGGATGAAAAGTGACCCTTCACTTTTCATCTGTCTAATGAATTTACATTCAGATAAAATAAAATTACAAAAATTATACAGATGAAAAGTGACCCTTCACTTTTCATCTGTAATGCATTTACATTCAGATAAAATACATCAAATTTCCATATTCAGAGTTAAACAGAAGCGTTTTCATCTGGATTTAAATATCCAGAGTTGGGTTCTTTCTTTCTTTTTTAACCCGCTGATCAGACTGAAGTGTTTGTGTGGATGTTTGTCTGAGTTTAACTGCTTTGTTCCTTTTCTAAAACAGCTAAAATCAATGAGACGGACACCTTTGGGCCCGGAGACGACGATGAGATCCAGTTCGACGACATTGGTGACGATGATGAAGACATCGATGATGTGAGAGCTTGTTTTTCTTTTCCGGGAACCTTTAAAAAGCCTCCTGAGGGGGGGTTCTTTATCTGGAGTTGATTTTAATGTTAATAATACTCTTATAATACAAATTTTTAATCTGGAGTTGATTCTAATATTAATAATATTAATATAATACTAATTCTTAATCTTGAGTTGATTCTAATATTAATAATACTAATATAATATTTTACTAATATAATATAATATTTGACTAATATAATATAATATTTTATCCGGAGTCACCTTAAAAACAAAAGCTGGAAGGATAAAAAAAAAAAACATTAAAACAATATGAACATTTTTCATATTTTCATATTATATTTCAATATTTTATAATAAAAAAATAATTACAACAAAATCTTTTCATATATAGATTTATACACAGTGAATAAATTATAAAGAATTATTTAATGTGACATGATAAAATCAAAGGTTTAAGTATAATAAAAGTACATAAAAACATAACTGAATCTGATAAATATAAATGCATAAATTGGATAAATGAAAAGTTTTTTGTTTTTTTCTAACTCGTATTTGGATATTTTTTTGTACTTCTACCAAAAGATTTCAGAATTTTCCAGCAAATCATGAAAATCCTTTGATATTTGAACAGATTTGAGCTCAGTTTTGGTTCCAGAAGTATTTAAAAAGCTGGAAAAAGCTGCAGAAATGTTGATGAACTCTGTTTTTTCCTCTTTTCCCTCAGATATAAAGCCCTGCTGCCAGAGGGGGGAGGTGGGATTTTACTCCAGACGCTCCGATTGGGGATGCTCTGAGCCGGTTCAGCTCATTATTTTTATTAAGATCAGCCTATGCCAGTCCGCCACCGCCTAATAAACGTCTGTCTGAGTAGAGCTCTGTTGTCCCACACATCTCAACGCCACCTGAACGCATCCCCGCCCAGCTGGACCTCCAGAAAAGGGCAAACATCCGGAACATTTAGTTTTTTTTTTTAACGCTTTTGCCTCTAAACGCCGGCTGAACGCCCCCCCCCCACCTCGTTCGCTGTGTTTTTTTCCCGTTTTTGTCTCTTTTTTTTTTTCCTGGAATCCCTGTTTTTTTTGGGAGGCCGCGTCCTCTTTTAAAAGGTGTATTTATATTCATTTCACTCAACGTGGAATTTAGAAAACCCTGAAGAATCTCTGGATTCGACCGTAAACGGGAAAAGTTTTCCTATCCGGGAGGCTTTTTTTTGTGTTTTTTTTTTTTCTCCGATTTTTCTCTGATTTGCTTCTGTTTTCCTCTTTTTGTGTTCGTTCAGTTTCGTTTCGTTTCTGGTTTGAAGCTGCTGGATCTGAGGCTTCATCACACAGTGAAGCTGGTCGCCCGCTCTGTTTCACAGACCAGCGGTTCCCAAACCCGCACCAGTACAACCAGTTAAACCAGTGAAACCTCACAGATACACACATGTAGAGACCAGTCGTATATATACAGCAGATTATATCTATCTCCCCTCTTCCCCAGTTTGGGAACCACTGCTCTGTCGTTGCTCTTGTTCCTGTAACTCTGAATTAATAAAAGATAAATGTACAATGATGTTTGAAGGCTGGGTTTCCAATAAAGATCTTAACTCCACCGAGGCGGTGTGCTGCTGGTTTTTTGGGGGGTACAAACCTATTTAACCCTTTAATGCCAAATGAATCATATTTGATTTATACGGTTTCTGAAATGTTTTGCGTCTGACACCTTTTGCATAATTTAATGGTAAAAACTTCGCTCAAAATCCTATTGTACACAATCAGATACACCTGATAACAGCCAGTAGAAGACTACACAAAAAATAATCTGGACTTATCGCATAGTAATAAATTATTCATATTAGAATTTTATTTTCTTTTTTTCTTTTTACATATTTAGTTAAAAGGCCAAATAAAGACTTGAAACAAAAAAAAAGTAATTTTCTGGTTTGTTTTATTCTTGGATCAGGCTTTGAAGGGTTAACATACATTATTTTAACTTAATACGTATAGAGTTTAATTCAGGGATTGCAAGATTAATTTAGCAGCTTGATAAAGAACAATGTGTGCAGATGAGGTCACATTTGGTTTGGCTTAGTTAAAATTAGGTGAAATCTGCAATAAGAAAAAAAGACTCATGAAAGTTAATGTTCCCAATATGATGGCTAAATATTAAGATTATTCTAGAGATGTTTATAAGCTATTTTCAGTCCAGGTAAAGGAATTTTTAGTAAGACGCTCCCAAAAGCACATTTAAACATGTTTCCTCATAAAACAGAAAACAAGCTTCTCCATGAAGCCTTAAATATGAGTTCTGAATATGTAAAAAGGTGAATGAATGGTCTGATTTTCCTCACGGAAATCAGTTATTGTCCACAAAATGTGAGACTCTTGTGCTTTTATTCAAATAGCCACTCTTAAGTTGTTAAATACACATAGAAAACACGTTTTTGTCTATAACTGCAAGGATTTTTTACACTTAAACTCTAGAATTAAAATCCATCTTTTCTTTTTTTTTATCAATCTAAAACTCTCATTATTTCCTTTTACATTCAGTGTATTGCAGACAGATAAAATAAAATAAAGTACTTTGCCACTTGATGAACTTTTTATGGTGAAAATAAATGGGCCAGATGGGCATTAATAGGCCTGGGGAGGGAAGGGTAATGGACTGAGGTATGAGTTTGCAAATAGGGAAAGGAGATAAGAGGGCACACGTCTGTTTAATGTTTTATAAACTAAGAATAAAGTCAGGTTTTGCATGTGTTAAAAGCTGACCAGGCCATAATCAAGTTTTCTAGTAACGGGAGGCCAGAGAATAAAACATTACATCACCTATAATAAATGTCTGTGTCCAGAAGCTCAGACTTTAAAGGAAATAAACATATTTTTGTTGTTGTGTTGTTTCTGTTTAAAAAAAATAAATAAAGAGGCATTTTAATGGACCAGCCAACAAATGCTGATGCATATCCAAATGTTTATAGCAAAAATCCCTCGTTAAAGACACAGAGGGTGGTCCATGTTGTTTTTTTTTATGGAGGCTTGTGCTGTTTTCTTTTCTTTTTATAGCCCAGTCGTCACGCCTGACTCATAAACGTGAGCGTGGGGAGCGGAAACTGAACTGACCCACATCGCCCTCCGTTGGTTTGCGGTAACTATGACGTAACGCGCAGCTCGTTCCCGGCACGTGTGCTGCGGCACGAGCCAATTTGACAGCTGGATCAAACGGAGCGGGTTAGCCACGTGAGAGAGGAAAGAGAGGGGGGCCAAGACGGTTGAAAAACGGCTAAAAAGCTCTTTTAAACGACACGAAAAAAATATCTGTCACTATTTGGCGAAACCGTTTTTAATTTGAATTTATTTTTGACATTTTCCCCCTCTCATAATTGTCCGTTGCTACATGTCGGTTGCTAGGCAACGGGAAGCGGCGTGAAGCTGGCGCATTAATATGTAAATTAGCCAACTGTGAGGCGGTCACAGTTTTTTTCCCGGTAAAAATAAACGATGTTAATATTTTTTTATGTATTATTATGATCACTTTTAAAGGGATAATACATATATTTACAATTTATAAAACAACTCCTTGTCACGTTTTATGTGTCATTACATTTTTATAGTAGTTACTTTAAAAAAGGAACGTTGGGACTCGGTGGAAATAGAGCCAACGGTTATCTGTGGGCTTCAGAAAAATCGACGTTTGTTCCGGAAAGAAGTGCCCCAGGATGGAAAGATGTTGTATTTTATGACATCATAATGTAGTGATGCTGGTCCCCCCCCCCCGCCCGGTTTTTCTAGCACAGACTCCGCGGTGCTAGCATCCGTTTGTGCTCCGGTTTTTTCCCTGAATCACCGGTGATGACTCAGGTGGCTCCGGACCGGGCTGACATGGCAGGTAATAACAAAAACACACCTCTGTTTTTACACCACTGTCATTTAGAGACAAACGTCCACAACTGGGGGGTATTTTCTGATGTTTTTATGGTCCTGTATTAAGCCGTAGGGATAGGCAGGAAATGGCTCAGAGAGAACTGGACCTGGGTTTAGTCCAGCTTTTGTCCTGTCATGCTGGGCTTTTTTTTCTTCCTATTTTATAGGAAATACGATGCAAAATTGTGATGAATTTTTAATTTATGCACTTGTTGTCTTCGCTTTGTCTTAAAGGGATGAGTAAATATGGTTTACAGCCCAATCAGCCTGTAAGAGAACAAAGTGTTTTCAGGTCATTTATAGGCATAAATTATATTTATCTATGTAAAAAGAATGGGATGTGCAAAACTGTAAATCAGATGCATTTATGTTCCTTTTTTTACATTCTTGAATTTCCCCTTGGGGATCAATAAAGTATCTATCTATCTATCTATCTATCTATCTATCTATCTATCTATCTATCTATCTATCTATCTATCTATCTATCTATCTATCTATCTATCCATCTATCTATCTATCTGTCTGTTTTATAGCGTGTTTTATGGGCTGATGTTTTCTTTACTAATGAAGTCATTATTCAGCTTACTTAGCCTGTGATGTAACGCTGACTTTAGATCAAGAGGAGATGCTTGGACTGAGATGGATTTGCATGTATTTGCATATTTAATGTGCGCGCTGAGGGTATTTTTATACCCGAGTCCCCCTGTGTGCATGCAGGCACCTGCCCCCAGGTGTTAGGAAACCCAGCAGAAAAGGTCTGCAGGTCTCAGGGACCTGAGCCTGTTCAGGGACGGGCTGGAGATGTGTTTTTGGTCAGGTTCTGTGGATGATAGCATGAATCATGTGTGATGTGTGACTCTCTGAAAACAGCCCTGGTCCCTCCTCTGGAACCCCTGATCGCAGGAAACAGGAACGCGTCTCCTTCCCGATCTCCGTCCAGCCCCACGGGTAAGAGTCCACTCACGCTGCATCCCTTCATTTATCCCTGGTGGCTTCAAAATCCAACGTATCAGCAACCACAATAGCTCTGAGTCACATAAATGGCAGAAAACATGTTGAAAGCGGTCTAATTTTAGCATTTTTTTTTAACAAAAGCTGACACTAATCACTGAGATGTAAGGAAAATATATGTGACACTTCAGCCAAAATATCCTCCTGTATGATGGTTTAAAATCCAAAATACTTCAAACAATATTTGGTGTCATGATTGTGCTCTAATTAAAATATTATATTAATATGCTGTTATTACAAAAACATGCACTAAAGTGGACATATTAGGTCTATTGAGGCATTTCTGACGTTCTTAAACTGTTTATTTTCCTTTTGAAATACAGAAAAATGGAAGTACAAATAAGTTCTGTGTTCTTTTCATGTATCTTTCAAAGAAAAGGTTTATTTTTCACTAGTTTATTTAAAGCAGCGGATGCTCTATAAGGAGATAGATCTACTCTATTAAACTTCAAGGGAAATAATTCAGCAGTGTAGCTTCTGTAGGCACTAAATCCTCCAGAGTGAACCGGACTCCTCATACATAGCTTTTATTTACCATAATCGCCATTTTGCATGTCTTTTGCTTGTTTTTGAGTATGTTTTTAGATCTCAGAGCCCACTGGTGTGATAGTAAATGTTCTATAGAGTCCGGTCTCTTCTGGTTTTACTCTACACAAAGCAACAATGGCCAATGAAGCTGAACTAATCCCTAAATGTACTCTCCTCTTCCTGCAGGCTCTCGGCAGCTTTTAGCTAAAGAGCGGCGGGAGGAAAGAGAGAAGACGCGAGGTACGTGTGGGCGGGAGGTTTTCACCGTGAAAACACGTCTGATTAGTTCACTTGCCAAGTTCTAGATTCAAAATGAGCTTTAGACAAAACAGGAAGCATTACCCCTTAA